CGGTGAGATTCATTAATAAGAAAATATAATGTTTTAGGAAAATGATTCAATTAAAAAATTGGATTTTTTTTTTCTTTCTCTTTTTTTTTTTTACAACAAAAAAAATTTGATTGTTTATACTCTGTACTTGCATTCARTAAAATTACAACCTTAAAATCTTGCAATTGAGTGTTATGTGTTAGTAAATGCACCACAGGTAAAATCTATCGATAACTATTTAAAGTAGGAAACTTTTTTTTTTCTTTTCTGTCAATTTAATTTAAGGTGCAATTATTTGAATATATATAATACATACATATATCATGCAAACAAAACAAACAAAAAGAAAAAAAGAAGATATTGACATGTCATCTTTCAAAACCACTGAATGTAACAAATCTTCTGCTGCTGTCAGCTCTTTATATATATATATTTTTTTTCATGCAAACAAAACAAACAAAAAGAAAAAGATGCAGATATTGTGTCATCTTCCAGAACCATTGAATGTAACAAATCTTCTGTAACTCTTGCCAAAGATCTTCCAACCAGATACCATGCTTGAACAATTGTACTAGGAAAATGAGATGGAATTGAATTGTCATGCAGTATCTCGAATCTCCAAAATATTAAGGCCAATTTACGTGGCATTTAATATAAAAAAGAAATAATATATCAGTGATCAGAAAGCTATTGCATCATTGCATCCAACCAAGAACATCCATTGTAAAGGCACGAACTATTCATTTCAAAAATTCCAATTTTCCTATTACTTTTTTAAGGGGAAAAGAATTAAAAAAAGAAAAAAGAGCTCCATGACAAAGCYTMACAGGTGCTGCATATAATCCATTTCTATCTTGTAAATCTTAAAGCGTGTTCTTAAATTTTAAAATTCAACGATTTATTTAACATAAAATTGAAATATCACCAACGTGACTTATTATAATCTAATAAAAAAAATAGAAATACTTTAAATTTAATCACTAAGCTATATTGATGTGTTGGCAACAATTATAAAATTATTAAGTATATTGTTCCAGTTCTATTGTATTCGATTCGTGACCCCTCTAACGAAGTTGTTCGACATTTGAAATCTTAATGGAAATACTTTAACAAATCATATTAATTGTATTTAAATTTCTTCAAGTCAACGACGAGGCTTGGCGGCCCAATAAGCCCAAATCATGACAGACTTGGGGCTTTGCATTGTTCACACGATCTCAAGTGGCTTCCCACGTGTTTCTCTATATACAAAGGTTCAGAGCAGAACGAGATCTACAAAGACGTAGAAGACAATAAGATCAAAAGTCGTACGAAATTATGACTTTTTTATACTTTTTGACATAATACGAAAAGTTGATGAAATTAAGATAACAAGAAAATCAAAGATGGATTGAACAGAAACGCAAAAGAAACATATATTCGGTCTTGAGCCTAAAGCTTTGATACCAAAATGTTATGAAACCCTTGAGATTTGTATCTAACAACCTTGTTGACAAACAAGACTTTTAAATCACARACTCAAAAACTCTGAAATCGATTATGGAATCAACACAAGTGTTATAGGGAACAAAAGAAATGATTAGACCGGGAAAGAAGTGCACGGGCCAAGTGAGCGCCGGAAAACGTCGACCCGGGGATCTCAACTGACCAAGCCCTCGGCTGAGAACTATAACGGCTCACCCGATCGTTTGGCGATACCTCCCGTTTCGCAATTACACCCGCAACGGGTCTAAAATCGACGAGGATTCACAGGGAACTGCTATAAGATGGACGGAACCCTAGAGGTAAGGGATCCGATTCTTGAGACTCAAAATTCTAGATCCTTCCACTCTCCTTGCTAACTTAAGCATCGGAGCCTGTGTGATCGAAGTCACACCGGTTTAGGTTTGATTGGTTTTGCAGGTTCTTTGTCCCATTCTTATCAGGTTTGGTGTGAATCTCGAAGGGAACCGAAAGAGTATAATTCACGCATCAACAACAAGGAAAGTAAAAACCAGATTATCTTGTTGATCAAATATCTCAAGGCAAGAAAACTCGTTCCTTGTTTGAGATCCGAATCACTCCACAAGCGAGATAGATCAAGTCTCACTTGAATGGTCTTAAACATGCAAACTATCACAAGATTGCAAAGTACATTAGCTCTTGGCTAAAAAGAAATACTCAAAGGTTCATTTCATTACATCTTCAAATCTATATTCTCAAAGCTAACATACATGGTTATATATAGCCWTCAAAATAGTCTTTAGAAGTAACATATGGGCATGTGAAAGGTTGGAACACTTAAGTCCATCCCATAAACAACCCTTAACTAATTGTAACCTAAAAAGTAATGAAAAGTCTTAAAACTTAAAATACTTAAAAATACAGAAATCYGAAAATTAAATATTAAATCAGCAAAACAAGAGTTTTGTAACCATAAAGGATTAAATGAAGCCTCATTTAATATTAGCATGAACTTGAAATCCATAATTGATGCTTTTGTCTTGAATGAAGCTTGAGTTCACTTGTATTTAATTTGAATATGTTGGAGATTCATATCAGGTTGGGATTCAAACTCACAAAAATAAGTGCCTTAAACAATCAAGCTAGATTTAAGTTGGTTAAGATAAAAATTTAGTTGAATTATAAGTTTTTTCTTAATAGAAACAATTGAATTATAAGTTTAATCCTTAATCTTTTGAATGTGGTAAATAATGMATCCTTAAACTTTAAATTATATAATAAGTATCTAAACTTCAAAAGAAAAAAAGTTTAATAAGCATATTAGTTTTCAATKTGATGTTTACTAAATCTCTAACCTATTAAACGTTATTAAGGTTCAAACATCTCATTGACACAAAGTCATAATTTTAGAGACTCATTTTTTAAAGTTAAATTTAAAAACCTATTAGACGTTATTCTAATAAAATGAAATTATTAGATATTTTAATCTCAATAATCTATTAGATACAAATTTCAAATATTCAAAGTTTTAAAAGAGAAAATTCGTAATTTAATATAGAAAAAGATAATTAAATTTTTTTAAAAAGATAAAAGAAATTCAAAGGCTAAACTTAAAGCCTAAAACKATATTACTATATTTGTAACTTTTACCCCGAAGAGAGAGGAATTACAAGTTTTACTATATTTTCCCGGGAAGTTATTTTCAAAATTATATATTATATTTTAAAAATTTTAAAAACTGTGTTTAAAACTAAAAGTGAGCGATTATTTTACATTTAAAACCACTCTTCACAAAACTCRTCATTTTGTTCAAAAGCTGTTTTACTAAACAGATAATTCACAATTTCCACAACTTCCAAATTTTATCAATTTTGATCCTAAACTCAAATAAATGTTTCAACTTTTATAACCTATTAATTTTTCATTAATTATAAAATGCAATCGAAACATCTAAAAAAACTCACTAATTTCTATCACATCAAACTTTAATTCAACATCCCGAGTTCAGCTTCAATTCAACATTTTTGGTGTTTTAATTATATTTTTTCAAAAAGTATGTTTTTTTCCACGTAGTTTCCTGATCGAGCCCTTAATTCACCGTTCTTAGTCTTTTAATTATTTTTTTTCAAGAAGTATGTTTTTTCATTTAAAATAAGTAGTTTTAGCTTTTATATTTAGATGAGTGTCATAATTTTAATATTTCTATTCAATTTCTTCCGATTCACCGACTTAAATYTAGACATTGATTTGAAGAAAAAACTCCAAAAACTCTTACTAGTTTAATAAAAATAAAAAATTTCAATTAATTTCGATTAATGTACAAAATATACCATTAAATAATTTTTAAAAATTTACGCGTTTAAGTAAGAAAACTAATATTTAAAAAAAGACGAACTATAATGTTAAAAAGGAAAATCTATAATGTTGTTTTTGTCTAAATTCTATCCAAATATTTTCTAATTAATTCGATAAATATTATAATAATTTTTTCCAACAATGTTTCAAATGAAAATCTATCAAAAAAGTTAAATTTGCAACACTTTTTTTTTTTAAAGTTTAAAGGAAGATACAATACTTATCCTCGAATAAAATGTAAATTGATATTTTTTCARTACAACATCATGTGGAGGTGGAGATTCAAACTCACAGTTTTGTTATCGGAGATAGGTGACTTATCAAATTGAACTATGTTGGAGTTGACTTTGCAAATTCATATAAAAAAAAAGTTCATATTAAAATTGATTTTTTTCTATTATATTTATGCTACCTAACATAAAAATTATAGTTCTGCCCCTGCGAATATACAAAATCCACTATGTTTCACAGTTGAACAAAAAAAAACAAAAAAACAAAAAAAGAAATCAAACTCTAATGTTACTTTATCAAAATTTGTATCCATTTTATATTAGAAATATGTGTTATAATTTGCACATGAAAAATATATATTTTTATTAATTATTCAAACAGAAGCTTATTCGAATATAAAATTATAATAGTTATCCAAGTTTACAATAAATATTGGCAATTAAATAATAAAATGGAAAGTGTAGGGTAAAAAAATAATTTAGTGTGAAATTAACCTCCTTTTTGCAGCCGTTGCCATAATGAATAATATAATATTTGAAAACAAAAAAAGCAGCGTAACAAAAAAGCGAAGAAAAAATTCCCGAATTGTTTGTGGAATACGGGTGGGCTTAAATAAATAATAATAATAATAATAATAATAATAATAATAATAATAATAATAATAAACCAACATTTATTTGTTGACCATAGGGCTCAGCCACGCTCGCCTCGCGCCCTGCTTTCTTCCTCTCCATCTTCTGCAAACTCAGACCTAAATCCCTTCTCCCATATTGCCACGCCTTACAGGTTAGCTTCTTACTAACCCCTTTTTCCCTTCTTAATTTTGGGTTTCTTGCAATTTTCTTACTCCTATCACTTCTTGCTCCTGAGGTCCTTTCATGCGCTATTTTCCGCATTGTTTTCTTTGTTAAATTCTGTGTTGTTGTCTGTAGGGTCTTTGGAATCTTAGCCTGTGGACTGATCAACAGTAATTGGTAACGTTATTCGAATTTGATTACTCGCGAAATCGCATTGGAATTGTGGTGGTTCTTGTTTAAACTTCTGTTCTTTATTGAATCAGGCTTTGCATATACTTATTTGTTCGGGATGGTTTTTGGTATTGGATTGTGGATAATATAATCAATTTCCGTACGAATATTTTCTTCGTGGATTTCGTTTCATCATTCTTTGTAGAGGGGATTTGGAGGATCAGAACCGGCATCCTTTGGGTTTTTGTAGTCATTTGGGAATTGGGATTGTGTTGGATCTTAGTCACGACTGATGTTGTGTGCTTGAAGAGGTCTTCGAGGGAGATACAGATTGACTTTGCAGGCTGTTTTCTTTATTGTGGTATGAAATAATATTTGATTGGGGAGGATCGGAAGGGTTTATCTAGATATGGAGGGGTTTGGAAAGAGGTTTCGAGTGTGACTTACTTTTATGACTCCAATTGGATTTCTTGTAATAAGTTGTTTGGTAATTTCCCTCTTTTCTATAACATACTACTGGGGCTCATTTTTCTAGGTGCTGATTTTTTGGAGGGTTGACCTTGTTTTCTCGTGGCCTTTTTGGTTGTTTCATTCTTATTAGTTACTACTGAAAGTTGGTTTCTTATCCTTAAAGGTAGGGAAAATTTTGAAAGAACATAATAATATATGCATGGGGTGTAATTGCATATTTTGTTGCAGGAGATATGATTAAGCTGTTTAAAGTAAAGGAGAAGCAGAGAGAACTTGCTGAAAATGCCAACAATGGGGTACCTACGAAGAAGCAAAGTGCTGGGGAATTACGTCTTCACAAAGGTTTGACTATTGAAACTTGAAAGTATTATTCCGGTTCTTTATTATTTTCAATTGAGAAGCAATGAGGTGAAAAATTTTGGTCCCTCTAGAGATGACGATTTTGTTTTAAACTATAGCAATGTGGTTCCAGTTATATTGATAATAGACTTTGGAGTTGTACCTTTGAGTCTTTTTTTCTTTTCTTTTTTTGTTTTTCTGTGGATTGGGTGTTGTTATGCCAGTTAAATGGCAATATCTTGCAAAGTTTAGCATATTTTTTAAAACCTAATGGTTTGGTGGATTGAGATCTCATGTACAAATGGAAAAGTCTTATTTTTAAATATGCCATATTTTCCAATTTGTTTCCAATGCACTTGTGATGGTTCATGATTATGATAGGCCCCAAATCACTAAGTACTATAAGCGTAGGCATGTGAGACAACAAGAAGCCAAGTAAGCAGGGTATGTGTGTGGGCCCTAGGAAATTTGTTAGTTAGAAGGAATGAGGTGTAAGAGCTGTGACGTGGGGAGGGGAGAGGTTAAAATAGAAGTTTGTTGAGGGGAGGGTATCTTTTTTGACATTGTGAAGTTTGTAAGGCTCATTGAGTCCTTGAGGAAGAGGTGGGGAGCTCTTTCAAATCTCCCTTGTTTGATGCTCTGTTTTGATAAATAACATTGAGCCTTATCCGATTAGTTTGATGTTGTTCTAAGATGGATGGGTACCCTGAGTTTATATAAAGACGGATAGCCAGTGTAATTTTTATAACCTTTGGTAATTTGCCATTCCTAACAGCTAATTATTGGAGTGCAGTAGAATGTTCATGTATTATGCTTCTAGAGCTGACTTCCCGTGATTATTGCTTTCATCTTGTTGTTTAGACGATTGAGTGTCATAGGTAGTTTCCTAGGTGATATTGAGTGGAAGGTATCTGGCTTTTTCACTAGGGAGTTGAGTTCTTTATGTGGGATTCTGGGAAGCTTGTGAAACTGGAAGCAATGGTGAACTGCTAGGGTTCTTTATACTTAGTACATTGGGAGAAACCCTGACAAGTTATTCACCTAAAATTTAGGGATGCCTAGTGCATGAGAATACAAAGAATTGATATCTTTGCTTGTTTTCTGGTGATATGAGGAGTGAAACCCAAAATGATCTTTTCAATATATAAAAGTTGGTGGTGGTATTTGAAGTGAATTTTATTTCTTTTACAAGATTAATCATTAATGGAACCTTTGGAAAGTCACAATTCAATTGCGTAGCTGTTATCAAATTTGGTTAATTTAAGCGGGAGTCCAAAATTTTCTTATGTTCAATGAAGATCATGATCACATACGATGTTGTAATATCATATTGAGCAACAATAGGGAATTAGTGCCCATAAGAACCTTGATAGCTAAATAGTCATGGACTTAGAAGCTCTCGAGTGACTTACTTTGTATCATTTTCTTTTCACTGTTTATTTCATATCATATAAGTGATTAAGGTGCCAAATCTCACTGGCTTTTTGTTATTTACTCTCCAGTTATTTGTTTAGATGACTTCTCTAATTGCATTTAAAAATAAGTCGTGCTTCAGCACTGAATGGCATTGGAAGTCTATTTATTCAGTTGGAGTTATTGGTTAACTACTTTCAGCATATGTATGCTGATTTGACATATACCTTGTTAGTTAATTATTGTCGTGTCGGGCATAATCTGTTTCAGATATTAGTGAGCTGAATCTACCAAAATCATGCAACATAACCTTTCCCAATGGCAAGGATGACCTCATGAACTTTGAGGTGACAATACGACCAGATGAGGGATATTACTTGTAAGAATTCTCTTTTCTCCAAGTTTCATACTCGAGCAATCTTTAGTTTAAACTTTTGCCTGCTAGTGGAGGATATTTTCCTCTTTTTGTTAATATCTTTCACAGTCGATATGTTTAACCAGGAACAGAATAAATATAAAAATAGTTTTGATATAAAGAAGTAAAATTATAAGTTTTCGAAACGCCTCAAGAGTCCTGGACTCCCAAACTATTTTAGAAAATCAGTAACCTCAAACTCTCTTACTTCCTCTATTTATGCCTTCGACTAACCAATCCCAAGTTTTCCTACTAATTTTCTAATAATATCTCTATTGTTGTCCTACTAATCATTTGCTCCTCCCTAAATTAAGAGGAGGCACATTTTTGTTCTCCTTCACAGTTTCCCCCATCTATCCGCATGAAGCACCTAAAGTCAAGTGCAAGACAAAGGTAAACCTGGATGACTCTTTACCTATTTGTTTTGTTTCAGCATATAAAGGAAATCTTCCTTGTGTGTAACTATTAATGCTTTATACAGGTTTACCATCCAAACATCGACTTGGAAGGAAATGTCTGCCTCAACATCTTACGGGAAGATTGGAAACCTGTTCTCAATATCAACACTGTTATTTATGGACTCTACCATTTGTTCACGGTATAAACAAGCCTCATTAGTAAAAGGCTGCATTTTATTATCATAAGTTGTTTTCTTACCCTGGTTTTTAATTTCCTACCAGGAACCAAACGATGAGGATCCGCTTAATCATGATGCTGCTGCAGTTTTAAGAGACAATCCCAAGTTGTTTGAATCTAATGTGAGAAGGGCTATGGCTGGGGGTTACGTGGGACAGACCTTTTTCCCACGCTGTATGTAACTTTCTCTGAATCCGACCTTCCTATTCACCTTTTCCTGTGCTGTATTTAGCTCTTGTCTCTCAGTACACCAAGTGCTCATTTAGAGATATCACCTACGCTTGTGTTAGCCAATGGACTTAGCGACGTTAATGTGTAACATTTCTACATTGTTAATTAACAAGTTACATTCTCTCCCGTATTATCTTAATATTATGGATGGAAGCCATGGCATGGGGCAGGCAAGTCCTTCAAATGTGTTGTGTTTCGTCCCCCCTAGGCCCATACCATGGCCTAATTGTGTCCTTTTGGTTGTATTTCAAAAAGGAACATGCCAAATGGGGAATGCTTCTTAGATACCGATGTCCTGTGTCGAACTCTCTGTTTGGAAAGATAATAGAAGATTTTGAATCAGAGAAAACGGGTCTTGCATTATTCATCGGACGTAAGGATTCTGTTAATTCATTATGTTTGGCTGTAGTACAATGGCTAGGGTGAGTATTGAATGAGCATAGCTGCCGGTGGCAAAATGAATATATATAGACTTTTCATAGAAAGCTAGAATCTAGCAACAGCAACAGCAACCCACTCTGGGATGGCCTTGTATGCCCACCAAACATGTGCCGGCGGTGGCGTCTTGAATTTGGAATTTTAATTTATGATTTGGTGTTGATTTATAACATATGGACCAACACAAACACATGGACAACATGCACAAACAGAACTTTTTTTTTTCTTTTAGAGAAATAAAGATTCCAGGACTGCTTAAAGACCTCTTCCAAAAGTGATTTTCTATATACAATTGCCTCGAAGAAAAAAGAACTTTTGTTTTTGCTTTCAGAAGTTGTCAAAATGAGTTATCGTAACATCACTTTCATCATGCATTCTAATTAGAACTTCGTCAACCATGGTAGCCAAGTTTTAAATTCTTACAAGAATTTAATTGGACATTTGCTAAATTTTGGGTTGACTTACTTTTTTGAAAAGTATCCCAAGTTACGCGTGCTCGAATGTTCTATAAACGTGACGCACATTTTTCCCGGCATGTAAGAAATTCATTATCCCACCACAAAACAAAATATATGTCTCCAATGGTCGTGAATTAACAATTAAGTCATATTCATTTCAATAATCAGAGCACTCAATTTTATATTGAAAATATATCTAATTAAAAAGTATTCCAGCATCGCGAGCAAAATCAATACCTACAAATAACAAATATAAGTTACGCCCTAATAATATTTATAACTAGCTATAAATATGTTTATATATATAACTGGCTATAAATATTTAAATTAAAAGACAGAGAATTTATTTAATTGAAAGTGTCGATCCTTAAAAAGTTTACAATTCAATGGCATGAAATTTAAGGCTTAAAAGTAAGATAATGCATAAAAAATGGTTAATTATTATTATTTTTTTTTTAAAGAGGAAGGTGCCAAAAATCATGGTTTCTACCAATGTGGAGGCGCCATGTTTCCGAAGCAAGCAGTTCTTTTAACGGCAACGGACGTTCGGGGCATGGAAAAGTTGACCGAGCCACAGCCTCGGCGCCCGTGAGTTCGCGCGTAATTTTGCTGTAAGTGCCACGTCATCATAGGCATAATTCGACACGTGTCACCCATTCCATATTAGGGTTCCGACTCGGCGTTCTCTGGTTCGGGGCAGCTGCTTCGTTTGTGTGGTCCTTCTCTTCCCTGACTTTTTGGCAGAAATTGGAGAATCCCTCTCTCTCTCTCTTCCCGTCTCTCTCGGTCCAATCAAATTTCAACTTCAACTACTTTGCCCTGCCATGTCTACGCCGCCTTCACTGTTGCGCATCAGTAAATAACTGAAATCAAAACCTGTAAGCCTTCCTCTTTCGTTCAGTGTTTGCGCCAACTTCTTGCGTGTTTTAATTTTGTCGGATGGTTTAGAAATTTGTGCAATTTCATCGCTGTTTGGCTGCCGAGTAAAATCCCGGAAGAGAAGGAAGCCGACAAATTTTGCACATCATGCTACCGGTTTTTGCTCTAAAATGGGAAAATTGAAAGCGTCTAAAGTAGTATCTACGAGTTTCCGTCGTTGTTTTTAGTTCTAATTCTTTCATTATCGTCAAATTGTGGAAAAATGGTTAGATGTTATACTATATTGCATTTTGCCTGCCCATTTCTGGCGCCCGTGTTACTATTTGGGATCTCCATATGTAAACTGTAGCTTCTTAAGTGCTAATTTTCAGTGATCACCAGTTCAATTTGACATTTGCCTTTTTTAAGTTTCAAGATATGGTGCTGTCTACCCTTCATGCTTGGTGTTGAAATTGCTTTTTATTTTTTTATTTTTTTATTGAATACTTCAGGATCATGGTGATGCTTGTCTTCCAAGATTTTGGGTTGGTTGGAATGGGTTAATATATTTGAAGGCCTACTTGGCTGCTCTGGAACCATACCTGGATTTGAGAATATTTTATCATTATTTTCCGTGTCTGCTTGAAATTGGAATATAGAGCTTATCTACGAGCATATGGCAGAAGACAGTCCAAGGATCAGTGGGCTTTCTTCTGGGTTGGCTGTTATTTTAAGTGATAATGATCACAGAGGGAGTTCATCGAAGAGCCGGTGTTTTTCGTATTGTGATGAATTCCGTCATCAATCTGTTGAGCGGACACTTGAATATGTATTTGGTCTCCCCAACAAATCCATTGATCCTGTGACTAGTCCAATTGATACGGATCTTATTCGCTCCATCATAAAGAATAGATTCTCAGAACTTGCTTATCCAATTGCCCCATATGGTGAGGGAGATGGCATATGTATTGTTGATAATGGTTTGGGGCCTAATGTAGTCTGTATTGAGAAAGTCAGCATCTGTGGTGATATGAGGATAGTTAAGCCGCCTTTAATTATGGAAAGTTTTTCGATGTTTAGCAGTTCTAGGGCCAATGCTTGCGTCTGGAGTGGAAAATGGATGTATGAAGTTATTTTAGAAACTTCAGGTATACAACAGCTTGGATGGGCAACTCTTGCTTGCCCTTTCACTGACCACGAGGGTGTTGGTGATGCAGATGATTCCTATGCTTTTGATGGAAGAAGAGTTCGCAAATGGAATAAGGAAGCTGAGAGGTATGGTCAGTCTTGGGTTGTTGGGGATGTTATTGGATGTTGTATTGATTTGGATAGAAATGAAATCTCGTTCTACAGGAATGGCATCTCACTTGGGGTGGCATTTTCTGGGATTCGCAAGATGGGTCCTGGTATTGGATATCATCCAGCAATATCTCTATCTCAAGGTGAGAGATGTGAATTAAATTTTGGTGCTCACCCGTTTAAATACCCTATTGATGGCTACTTCCCCCTTCAAGCACCCCCATCGATAGACAGTTTTGCTTCCCATATGTTGAAATGCTTATTGAGGATTTTGGAAGAGAAACGTATAGAATGCCTTGAGATTAACTCTACTGAGAAATTGAGGAGACTGAAAAGGTTTGTTTCAGTTGAAGAACTATTTCATCCTGTCTCTCATGGGATTTGTGATGTATTCTTCTCTGCACTTGAAGCTGATACAAATGGTATTGAGTATATAGGATGGGGTCCTTTTTTGTCATTCATGATGGAAGTCTTTGGACCACAGCCACCCCATAATCACTTAAGCTTAGATAGAATTATGGATGTTCTTCTAAGGAGTCAAGGCTCCCTAGCGTTGTTTGAGCATTTAATAAACGCCCTTTCATGTAGCTGTAAAACATCACCTCTAATTTTAACTGAATGCCCATATTCAGGATCCTATTCCTATCTCGCATTGGCTTGTCACATATTCAGACGTGAAGAATTAATGGTGCTTTGGTGGAAGTCAGTTGATTTTGAATTCCTCTTTGAAGGGTTTTTATCACGGAAGAATCCAAATAAGCAGGACCTTGAGTATATGATGCCTTCAGTTTGGTGGCCTGGTTCACGCGAGGATGTATCATATGAAAGTAGCATGGATTTAACTACAACAGCTCTATCTGAAGCAATTAATGAGGTACTTCTTCAATTCCACTTTTTCTGTGGCCTTTATGGTAGTATTCCTTGACCAAGACTGGGTTCATGTCACATGTGTAAATGATATTGTTGTTCAAGGCGAAAAAAAGTCTACTAGAGTAGGCCTGTTGTGCTCATACCCTAGTACCAAAACTACTAAGGAAAGATGGACATCCTTTTTAAGATATATATATAATTTTTGAGAAGACCCTTTTTGAAGTATTAATTAATAATATGAACTATTGAAATTTTGAATTATAGTTAAACTCCTTGGGGAAGGAGAAAGTCGGTGTGGTTATTTGTTCTCCTTCCCTTTGGCTATCTCTTTTGTGCTAAACCTCACGCTCTCAATAATTCATCCACCTTACCCATTTCCCATTTGCTTCAAGCATTGTGCTTGGTTAGATTTGCTTTTTTTTGAGTAAATTAGGAAGCTATTTATGCTGTTGACTATTAGGGGATTTTTCTTGGAAATTATATTTTCCCCTCTTTTCTTCTTAAACATATATCCATGTCATATAGATTTTTTATGAAAATATAATTAATTAGCTATACTAATCTTTTTCTTTTTCTTAGTCTCATTGCCTTTTATTTTGAGATGCAAAAAGTACATAAGTTTGCAGTAACTTCTCTACAAGGCCTAAATTTTATTTTATTCTTCTTTCTTCTTTTTTCTGCTTTTAGATTAAGTCTAATAGCCGAATAGAATGGATCATCGTCTTCCCTGAGCAACATGGGCACAAGTTGATATAGTTGAGAAATGCAAGAAGGAGCTTTCTTCTCTCTCCCCCCTTTTAGGATACAGAACATTTCGTCAACCATACGGTTAAACCTCTTATGATAAATTATTTTGGTAGATATTTTAATTGTAGTTATGCTCACTACCCAAGGGGAAAATTATAGCTAAAAGGGGCCTCAAGCAAGGAAACCCCTATCTCCTTTTCTTTCCTTGTCACTTCACCATTGTTGGATACACAATAAATTGTATAGTGCATTTTTGCTGCAAAGGACAAATTCTTAAAGGTCTTACCATGGGTGATCCTCCCATTGAAATTTTCCACTCGAATATGCGGATGCATGCTTATTTTTTGTCTGGACGAAGAAAGTATGTTATCCAATTGGTGGTCCATCTTAAGGGTCATTCTCGACTTGGCAAGTTTGACTTTGAATTTAATGAAAACTTTCCTCGTTGGTATTAACATTGAGGAGCAAAGGCTGAAGGTGCTGGTAGGAGGGCTTGGGTGTAAAAATGAAAAGCTTCCTTTCTCTTATCTAGGCTCCCCTCTAAGCTTTCCTCTGGGAGTAGCTCATCGAAAAAGTGCCTTTTAGGGATCTTTTGGTGGAGAAAAGTTGGATAGATGAAGAAGCTTGATGGTTTCTAAAGGGAGAAAACTAACCTTGGCCCAATCGGTGCTAATGAGTCTCCATATTTACTTCTTTTCTCTCTTGAGAGTGCCTCCTAAAAGTCATCAATTTGCTGGATAAAGATGATAAGAGAGTTTATTTGGAGTGGTGGAAGCTACAGCTCAGGGTCTTACTTGGTTAGATGGGAATGGGCCTCTCTCCCCACCCCTCAGGGGGGCTAGGTGTGGGATCCTTAAAACAATGAAATACAGCTCTATTCTAAAATGGCAAGAGATTTATACTAGAAGTCATGGGGCTAGGTGTGGGATCCTTAAATCAAAGAAATACAGGTTTTCTTCTAAAATGACAGTGGAGAAGAAGAATTGTTGCTAGCATTTATCATTTATGACTTGGATTCTTGTGGATGGTCTACTATTTCTTTCAAGGAAATAGAATTTGGCCTCAGATTGTGAAGGACGGGGGTATGTTCTTCGATTTTGTGAATTTTATAGTTGGTTGGGGATGGCAAGAGGATTTGTTTCTTGGGAAGATTCTTGACTCGACTCTAAACCTCTGGTGTAAGTCTTTCCTTGAGTCTTCTCGGCATCTTCAAGGAAAAATGCCTCTATTTCTGATTTCTGGAACTCTAAAAATCTTGTTTGGAATTTGGGGGTTAGAAGAGGTCTTTTTGATAGAGAGCTTGCTAGCTGGGTGCTCCTCATAGATAAACTCAATTCAGCTATCCTAAGCAATGGAGGGGATAAAGTTTGATGGTTCCTAAATGCCTTGGGTATTTTAATTCAAAGTCAGCCTTTCTAAATCTAGCTCACCACTCATCAAAGCTGAGAATTCCTTTGGTGGCTTATGTGTGGAAGTTTAAAATTCCAAAAAAGGCTAAGTTCTACCTTTGGTCATTGACTTTTTGAAGTTTGAATTTGAATATGCAAGAGAAGCTGCAAAGAAAAATCCCTTGTGGGCTATTTCTCCCTCAATTTGCTGCTTGTGCCAAAGGGAAGGAGGATGTTTAAACCACTTATTTATCCATTGTCAGTTTTCACACCTCAGGCAAGGTTGGTGTTCTATATTTCGACTTATACATACGTCTCCCATAGAACATAGATGATTGGCTCCTCAAGATTACGGTTGGGTGACAATTCAAAGGAAAGGCAAAAGTTCTCTGGAATTGTGCAGTAACGTCTTTTTTTTTGGTAAGTTTGGAAGGAAAGGAATTATAGAATTTTTAAAGATAAGTTGTCTTCTTTTGATTCTCTTTGTAATAGTTTTAAGCATTCTGCCTCTTGGTGGTGCTCAAATCATATGAAATCTTTTGTAATTATAGGCTCTTAATGATTGTTAATAATTGGAAGACCTTTCTTGTGTAGTTCTTTCCCCGAGTGTTACCTTTACCCTTGGTCTTTAGGCTGTTCCTTCTTCTTTTGAATCTATTCTCTTATTTTCTTATTAAAAGAAATTTTTAGGTTTGCTCACCTTTCACATTATAACATTTTCATTTATCTGAAAGAGAAAAGAACTATCAATAAAATATACCTCTACAAATTAGAAAGAAAAACAATGCAGAAATATATATTGGTAAGAAAAGAGAGAATATATTAATCAGAAAATAAAGGAGAAAGACTGCCTAGGGGCTGGCTAGAGGAAACCCCTGCCCATCAAGCTGAAAAAAAAGAGCTTCCTTCCTATTGTTAATATGGAGGCTCTCAGGCCTAAGCAAGGATAAAATTTACATGAAACTATTTCGACTATATAGACAAGGAAGAGATGGAATATACTTGGAGATTTTGTATTACTGCACTAAAGATGAATGACTAAATGAGGATCTTCATTCCTCAATTTTGTTGAAATAAAATCAAACTCTTCAACCTTGTCTTGTTCCTTTTCCTTTCCCTACCAAAGCCCAAGAAATTGTCAAAGTAGCATTCCCCACCAAGGCCTGAACAGGGCCACCTGTTGGAACACAAATCAAGTTGGCTACATGTGAGCCTCAGGCACATGTCCTGTGGTGGTCAGATAGGCATGCCGCATGTTGGCCAAACTTGATGTGATTCTCTTTCTGATATGGGCGGTGATGACCAATTGCTATCCTGAACTGATGATCCAAATCTTAAACTCTAGATCTTTCTAAGCAAGCAAACCTCGGATATCTATTTAGCTAAGATTTTGACTTGGAATGAAATCTCCTATCTGGATGACATGGAAGAAGTTGGGGGCAAGGATTTTAAGAAACATGTTAAATTGAATTCTTGCTTTCTTATTTCATTGCTTCATTGTACTGTTATATTTGTTGCTAATGTTGATGGATATCAACTTAAGTCGGGGATTAAAAAAAGGTGAACCCGACTCGTTCATTTACACTCGCAACGTATTCATGTTCAAATATACTAGACATTTTGCTTTTTCAAATTATTTTCTATTATCTGTCAGTTTTACTTATCATTGAAATGGATGTGTTTGGCACATTATCATTTCATGTTTTCAATATAATCAGCACACCTCATTACTTACCGCAGAAATACTCCTTTTTGTGGCTTATCTTTAAGTAATATGATCTAAACTGAGTAGATGCTAGCTCTGGAGATTTAGTTAGTCTTCAATTTTTCTTTGTAAAATTCTATTTTATTTGCAGATTGAGGAGAAGCATAGAGATCTTTGCCGCCTAGTCATTCAGTTCATACCACCCACAACATCTCCTCAATTACCAGGATCAGTATTTAGGACATTTTTACAGAACCTATTATTGAAGAACAGAGGAGCTGATCGTAGTGCATCCCCTTCTGGAGTTCTAAGTAATTCTATTGTTGTTTCTCTATATGCTGTGATACTTCATTTTTTATCTGAAGGATTTGGAATAGGCAGTGTTTGTGACTGGTTGAGAAGTAGTGAAACTGATGGTCCTGATATTGGTTTTCTTCATAGAGGTGGGCAGCGCAGTTTCCCTGTATATTTGTTCTTTAAAGATGAGTCTCATCAAACTGTGACAGCTAGGCTTGGAGGTTCATACAATCATATATTAAAATTGCATCCTCCTTGTGATCAAGAAGTTGAAGTAATTCGTTGGGAGGAAGGTTGCATGGATGACAATGAGACCAGAGTAACTCATTCAACCAGGCAAAAGCCATGTTGCTGTTCAAGCTATGATGCTGAATGCATGAGAAGTTCAAAAGATCCTATGAAATATGCTATCAGAAGTTCTCGTGGAATTCCCATGCATGATAGATCTGCTCATGTTGCTACTGAATGTACTGCTGGAAATTTGAATGATGAAATAACTGACAAACCGAGTTCAAGTGAACAATCTGATACAGAGTTTGGATATTGCCCAATGCAGCAGCAGATGAGGATTGTACAAAGGGAGACTAATACATCTTCAGCTACGTTAAGAGAAGAAGAACTATTAGACTTCTTGCTTCTCTTTTATCACATGGGACTTGCACCAGATTTTAAGCAGGTGATTGGACAGATAGATAATCTTCTTCTTTACAAAATTGCTACGGATGATCAAATCGCTTCTCTTAATCTCATTTTTCCACTGAAAATCTATAATCATTTCCCGAAATACACTCCGTTCTGCTTTACCAAAGCCTCTTGGAATTGAGATGCTCCTCTTCAATTTATCATTTGATAGTATTAATTTATATCCACGTCACTTGTTCTAACCACCTTAGTTGCTTCCATTGCAACCTGATCTAAAGGGATGGATGATGATCTTTTTATCACTTCTATCTTAATCAAAGAATCCTTTGGCTAATACTTAATCTAATAAGGAAAGATTTATTTTCCACACAACAACTTCTATAATCCATTGATCCCCACCCATATTCGATCTTCAAAATTCATTTTAATGCCTTCTGAATTGGAAAAATGTTTACATTTTAATTGGAGCATTCTGCAAGGGACTATGAAGAAGAACCTAAGGAGTTGAGAAGTAATCAATTTAAACTATACTGATCTGATCATTGTGCATCTGAAGCATAGTGGTCGCGTAAAGTTTTATATTTGTGTAGTGGAATGAAGTTGTGGCATAAGGACTTCAGAAACGACTCTGAATATCACCTTGGTGGAAGAGTGGCGTTTGTTGTGTTGAACCTACTGAATTCATTCTTGTTGATCTTTCACTTTCTATCTTATATCTAAGTTATGGCTAGTAGATTTGTATAAATTTGAAGTGGTGGTGATCTGTGTAATAGTTATATTACTATTATTATTAATAGTAGTATTATCCTTTAAAACCTGGGTTTGCAAAATTGGTTGTTATGGTCCCCTTCCTATCACATTTTCAATTTTACCGTTTCTGATTACTTATGCTGACCCATTCTGTGTTTCTTTTAACTGATGAGTTCCATGAACGTGTTCATGCACACTCACATATGCACATTGTAAAACTGATTAATTTTCAGTTGTAAATTAGCCATTAAGTTCGATTTTCTTTAAATGTTCTAAAATTAACTAAAGTTGTTTTGTGTCTAGGCATCACATTACATGTCACACCAATCTCAGTTAATAGCTCTTCTTGAAGAAACTGATAAACAAATAAGAGAGCGAGCTTGTAGGGAGCAATTAAAGCGTCTAAAAGAAGCTCGTAGCACTTACAGAGATGAAGTGATCGATTGCGTAAGACATTGTGCATGGTAAGATCTTTTTTTTCCTTTCTTTTGAACCCTATCCATTCTCTCTAATTGAAACAAGACCAAGTATCTACTACCAGAAATGTTAATGAAAGAGGAGCTTTGCTCTTCCTTATCTATTGATTCTGATAGGGCATCTATGCAAATTGTGATATTGTTTATATATGTAGATTAGGGTTGCCAGTAAAAGAGATTTTCTTATTCTCCCCTTTCTTAAATACAATATTGTATTATTGTCTGACATTGTCTTAAATTTGAGAAGACTGAAACTAAATAGATAAATATAATTTTCAAGTTTATACTTTATACAATCTAATCTTTATCACAATACAACAAGCTTCAAAATAGGATAAAATCAATATGGAATCTGGTTCTTTTAAGATAATGGCAAGAGGACCCCCAAATGGTAGTCCAGTTGACAAGGGCTTGGAGTCTGGGTCATACTGGCTTAGAGGTCTCAAGTTCAAACTTTTGGTTAGTTTAATTCCGGAAACCCTTAATGTCTCTTGGGTCCGGACCTTGGGGTGGGCGCAGGTCCCCTTGGGTATAGGGAAACAAAGCTCCGTATCCCAGTTGTTAAAAAAAAAGGGATAATGGCAGCAGATGAACGAAGGTTATGGTTCATATACAAACTTTCACTCATGAATCATGCTCACTCATTCCCAGACTGCCCATGAATCAGTTAATCAGTTTTTCTCTCTTGTGATTTTCATCTTTAAGTTATGGTACAAGCTCCTTTACCAGTGTAATATTTGTTGAATCTTTCCTAGAGAATTTCATTTATTTTGTGGAGACATTATTGGAAGAGTTGCTAGTGGGTGGATTTTTTCTTTCTAATTGTTGGAATTTATAGTTTTAACCTTTCATTAGGTAGGGTATTGAAGATGAAGTAGGGATTTGGGGTGGTTTGGAACAAAATTGTTTACTTTTTTTGTTGGTCTAAAAACGTCCTGGAGAATTGAAGTCATTACATTTTGGTAGTACTTTTACCTTGTACTCTTGATGGTTAAACTTTTTAGATGTTTTTATTTTTGGCCTTTTCTTTTCCCCACTTATCTTTTCTAATGCAACATTCAGTGATTTCATTTACTCAATGTTCTAAATGTCTTCTGCTGTCTGTTCCTCGTTATAGGAATCGCATTTCGTTGTTTTCCCGATGGAAGCAAAGAGGAATGTACGCAATGTGCATGTGGACTGTACAATTGCTTCTTGTTCTCAGCAAAATGGATTCAGTGTTTGTTTATATCCCTGAATTTTATGTTGAAACACTGGTAAGTCATCTAATCCATTATGCTTTTAAATACAAGGAATATGGCTGTTCGTACTTGGGTATCCCAGTATGCTATGTCAAAGTTTATTGTTACTGTAAGATTTATGTTATTAATTTTCTATAATATTCACATTTTTAGCAAGTTGGTTTACCTCAACTTTTTAGTGTTTTTTTTTTTTGTTTCTAAGATGCTTCCTGATGCGTTCAGTAATCTTTTATAATCTTCAAGTACTTTAAATGGCCAAAACATTTGAAATGTTCATGATATTTTTGTAAAGAATTTGAGAATGCTTCAATATATTTTTGAAACTCGCAGGATGGATATGTTTTTTAAGAACTGCCAGTTGAGAAAATATGTTATTTAAAATACTACTTGAGTATTCTTAGACTAGCTCTTCATGGCGCCAGCCACTTTTTATTCTGTATATTGTTCTGTCTCTTTACAGGTGGACTGTTTTCATGTGTTACGTAAGGGAGATCCTCCATTTGTGCCTTCTACTATATTTCTCAAGCAAGGGCTTGCTTCATTCGTATGTATTTATTTTCATATTGATTCTTTATTCTCTACTGGTTACTTTTCTTCAAGTGCATAAAGCTATAAAATAAATTGTTAATAATATTTCCTTGTCAAATAGAGTTATTGATGATGTCTTTTTTTCTTCTTCTTTTTTAATATTTTCTAATATTTTTCCTTAGACGTTAACTGGTTTCTTTCTCAAATACAATAAGATTCCCGATACCCTTGTACTTCAATTTATTGATTTTTATTATGAATAGCAGGCAGGTATCTAAAACATTGAAGGTATCAAATACTACCGTTAAATTAACCATAGTTCTATTTTTCTTCAAAATCAGTGTTGTAACAATAAGATTTATGATACCCCTCTTTTGAGGTTTTTGTAATTTCATACATCAATGAAATTGTTTCTTTCACCAAAAAAAAGATAAATAAATTACCATTCACCACGTCTTTTAGACTTCATAAAT